CACAAATAATGTTGTAAATATCATAATTTTAGCTTGATCATTTTCAAGTTAATAATGCCATTATAAACTGATAAACTGAAATCATGATAGAAAATAATGTATATCTTAGTACTAATGATTCTTACATATTGTAATAGTGCCACTATGACAATATTTATAAAAACTTGAACCATGAGACAAATATCCTGAGTTAGCGGATATTATAATATGCGAAAAATTTAACACCATAAAAATTAGAGTTGTTGGCAGCCACGATTTACGAGCATAAACGCATGGTTTTTATAAATTGAATTAAAGAGTTTTTTGTATTTATCTAATGAATTTGTACCTTGAATAATTTTGTGTAAGAGTATAAGCAATCAATTAAATTATATTCAATGCAACACTACGGATATCAAAAACTTATATTTTGCTATACCATTGAACCAAGGTATCAATAGTTTCTGATAATTTTACATCTATATTTATTATACATTGATATTTATCATTAATGTTGTTAGTACATGTTCAGATTCGACTTCAATAATATCACTAGTTAGTTTTTTTTCTCTTATAAATCCTACCTAGTGAACACCACATATCGAAAAAATAAATATATTTAAACATAATTCAATTTTCTAATAACTGCGATTGTTCATGAGTATTTAAAAGAATATGGTGAAAATATATTTTCTACAGATGGACATGTGCGTAAAATAAATGCCAATGGTGAGCCAAAAATATACTATTTTAATAAAAATAAATGTATGTCACGTCATTAAATTTAAAACCCGGATGATTATGATATGAACAATTTTGTAAGAGAATATTGAACAAATTTTCGATACAATAAATACATTTAGGTAGTTCAGTTATTTATGGGGCGAGAGGTTCTGTCTATTTTTTCTAAAAATGCACTATAAACCGCTATATATTTATGTTATGCGTCTGACCTTTGCCACAAAAATACTTGATAGTAATAACACAACGAACAATATTATAATTTATAATTTATTGTCGGTAAACGTCTGCGCTGCGCTGTTACAATCGATTGGACTAACGCAATCGTTGAGAAAAATTATTGTTGTATGCACGTGTAGTTCGTGTAAAACTATGAATCGTGGGGATAGACTTGTTCGTGCAGGTCACGAGTAAATGAATTTTTTGCCTATCCGATACGAACCAAACGCAAACAATCGAAAAAAAAAAACGCTTATCTCCGCACGGGCTACCGCAGTTATGTCGTTGTTTATGCCATATAGTAAACATATACTTGTATGTATATTGAGCGATCCAAACGGTGATTTGAAATATATATCAACGTAAAAAAAACTTAATGTTTGTCTAGTAATGATGTTATATATTTATTAAATTAATAATTTCAAAACAAAAATTAAAACAATATTTTATGTGTAATAAGTTGGTTATGACCTTATAGATTAAATATAATTAAAACTTATCAAGTGATTTTGTGACATGTTTCAAGTATCACGGTATCCCTAACTGTCAAACTATTTGCTTACCCATGTACTCTAAATTGTCTGATGGTTCTTGTGACAAACCTCTCATATATATAGTCTCATTGAGACGATTGATAGCTTTTAGTGGTGATTATGGCAACAAATTATAATATGCTTTTTAATAATATTTGTTATGATAAGCGACCTGTTTTCTTTAGGTGCTTATTGATATGAACATTTTTTTCTCCACTAAGACGTAGTGCTTACACTGACGTTAGTATGTTAGTATTGTTAATTGACTAATTTTTATTTTATACCATACCTTTTCACGTGTTAGTTATATATGCTTATAATATGACGAAATTTGGTTCATGGCTTTGTGAATAAGCACACTAGACAATGAAACATAACGGTATTTGAATAAATGTATGAATAGTAATTATAGTTATTAATTTCATACGTAAAATAAGCTTAACATATCTATAACACAGCTAATATATTTTTCATAAATTATAAAAAACACAAATAAATATTAATTTTGTAAAAGAAATCTATATAGAATATAGTAAAAATCGCTTGAAATTAATTATTATTCGGATTTATATGTGTTTTAAAAAAATCAGTATCATGAATCTGTTTTATCACACTCTGCTAGATAATCCTAATATGTTTTTACCTTCGCAATAGTCATATCGCTCATACCAATATTGTTGCATAATTCTAATTATATTGCATATTTTAATTTAATATTTTAGCTGCTAATTTATTGTATTAAAAACCAATAACACGTGTACCTGAAATTGAGGCATGTATAGATTCAAATATAGGATAATATATACTAACAATGCCAAGTACACAAAGTTATGCATAATAAACTTATTAAAAAAAAAACATCAGGAAATTTTATCGGAAATATTAAAAGTAAAAATGGAAATGGTAATAATTTTAGAACTAAATTCTGATGTCATCACCATGTTTAGCTTACCAATAAATTATATATAATTCCTCTCCAAAAAAATTGCTACAAATTTGGGTGTCCGGCCATATATTCAAAGAAATGATAATACGTAAAAAAAAAACATTCGTACAAAATGTATACGCATTGAATTTTAAAATATGCAAAATATGCAAAATTAAATTTTGTATTTATAGAACAATAATATCTTGAAAATCAACTTTACATCTCACTTATTTCAAATTTAGAATTAAATTTTTCGACAATATTATGCAAAATTATCGGATTTTCTACCTTGATTATTATTAAAACGGTATTTGAATAATTTTTAACACTGACCGTTATTTATGTTACCATGTTAAAATTACACGGTCGTCCCTATATATTATATTTTTATAACAGTACTGTATTTTATTAGATTTAAATGTTGTATGCAATACAAGCAACATTATCTTCATTCATCAATGTATTTTGGGTTTATTTTGAAGGAAATAATCTTTCATAAATGTATGCTGACGCAAATATTGAGTTTATTCGAAACACGCCAATTTTTAATAATGCATACAAAATATTATTTCGAGTAGATGCCATGATTTCCGAACTTTTATAATTGGCAACTTTATTATTTAGAAAATAATAAGATACTTTTTAAAATATTTTTTTTTTTTATCTAATGCAAAGTTACACAGTAAAATAAAAATATTTGTACATGTCATTACTCGTTAACATGAATTGAACAACATTACATGGTTTAACATCTTTGTAATTTATAAATACAGAATTTACAGTTACGACATTGTATACATTTATGTTAACTGATTCCTCTGATAAATACAACATTATTGCATCTTTTTTCACTTTTATTTATCATTCAGAAGCTTCTGTGCATGTGAAAATTAGCCATTCTTGCTCTTTTTATTTTGTTGGAAAATCGTTTTTTTTTTTTTTTTTTTTTTGAGAAGGAGTGCCACATCTATATGCTGAATATCATTGTTTATTTAGTAGTTTATTTATATCAAAGTTCGACTTTTATTTCCAAATTTTTATTTTTTAATTAAACTAAAGCTTGAAAAGTTAATTTTAAAGTCAGCAATGTTATTGTTTTAGAAAAATATTATATAAGTGAGTGTAATAAAACAATTATATCATCATTATTATTATTTATTTATTTATTTATTTTTTTGATTAATATAGATGTGTTGTTTTTTTTTTTTTTGGCTAGTAGCAATGTAATTTTTTTGACCAGTTTCGTAACGTAATCAATTTCTTTACATTTACATGACACTCAATTTTATTATTAGTACACACGTTAAATCGGAATTTTTGTAAGGTTATCTATTGAAACTAATGATTAATATAATAACGTTAATATAGTCACCTTGTATTTTTTTTTTTTTTTTTTTTTTTAAACACAATTTAAAAAAAAAACATACAGGTTTTTCTAAACGAAAATTATATCAAGTAGTTTCACAGATTTATTTTTTATTGCAGTACCTATGTTTCATTTATCATCCGTTGAATAATATGATTACATTACCATAGCAACCTCGTATATACACTTTTGTTTTTAACCATATGTTATTGTCAGATAAAATTAAATATTAAAAATTTGTTTGCGCTCTTGTAACACTATTTTTTTTGACCGATTTCGTATTACAGTACCTACCTTATCTCTAGCAATCTATGCTTATTAATATAAATTCAGTACCATAAAATAAAAAGAAAATACAAATAAATTTTATGTCTAATAAATTAAGAAAAATTATATACATAATAAAACAATCAAGAGACATATCACCAGTGAAGAGAATTTGAAAAATATATTTAAAATTATTTGAATCAGTAGTTACATACAGTATAATAGGGCGGAGAGAGGCAAATGATAATGTTCTAGTACAGCTTCAAAATTTCAAAATTTAATTATAAAGGTTGTGACTTTACAAGTAAAAAAAATTTGAGATATCCAACAAAAAAAAAAAAAAAAAACTATATGAAGATTTTAACGTTCTTAATATTAATAACTTATACATAAAAATTATTACCATATGCTTAAAAAAACATAACTGATGATCTCCTATTAACCATGAAGTTAACACTAGACACGCAGTTAATAAATTTTCTTTGGACTGGCCGAAAAAAACTGGAGGCCGTAAAGTATACCATTTTTTGGAAACTCAGGTATATAACTAAATGTCTATTCATTTAGCTAATATTCTGCCTTTACTAGCATTTAAAAAAAACATATTGTGCATTGGCTCCAACATGAGCTGTATGCTGCGATTAAAATTTAAAACGTTATATTTTAAATATGTAACACTTTATTAAGAATACTGTACTCGGATAACCCTGGGTCTCCACAAGAATTTTCTCGACAAGGCCCAGTAATCTTTTTTATTTCAAATAAAAATAAAAAAATATCAATCTCGCTGATACATTTTTTTTTTTTTCGTAATTACAATAAGTCTTAACATAACCATATCTATATTATGATTCAGTAATATCCACGCAGCAATAACAGTTTCAAGTAGATCGCTACGTTTTCTTTCCATTAACTATTAGCATCACTATTGCGTTTAACCAAACTATATCGACACGTTTGTTCACAGGAAGTGGGAAATGGCCGCAACGGCGGCTGCAGCGACCACGAGAGCGGCGGCGGCGGCAGCGGACACGGTTCCACGGAGTGTACGTCACTCGCGGCGAAAACCAGTGGAACGTTTGCTGCGGCCGTCGCCATTGGCGGACGTGTCGAACGACACCGGTACGGCTTTATTGCGGGAAGATCACCGACAAAACCGCAGCTCGCCGGTGTGGTGAAACCGACCGCGGCCGTTATGGCGTGATGGTCTACCGCGGCGAACACGAGAAACCCGCGGCCGCGGCGCCGGTGTATCGCGCGTCCTGAGCGCGTCCGTGCCGGTCGTGCCTGCGCCGGTGACGGCGACCGCGGCGGTAACGAGTTCCTCGACGGCGGCGAACGGACGGCGTCACCGGCACGGTGCACCGGTGCGGCACGCCGCCCTATCAGCCGCTGGTCGGCACCAAGGGCGTGATCACCACGCCGAAATTCCCCGGCCCGTTCCCGGTGCCCATCGAGTGCGAGTGGGTGATCCAAGCGGACGCCGCCGCCACCGCGGACACCATGATCGAAGTGTACTTCACGCAGCTGTACGTCACGGACGGGCTGACCATCACCGAGTACTCGCAGTATCCCGTCGACTTTGGCTTCGTCACTGTGCGCGAGGTGTTCAACAAGTCGCACATCACGCAGTACGGCCAGTCCATGTTGTCCACGTTACCGTACCTGGTCATACGGTTCCAGCTGGACCGGTTGCAGGGTAACCACATACGCGTGCACGACGACCTGATGGACGTGTACGGGTTCAACATCACGTACGAGATGAGGCCTGTCGGCAACGAGCGCAGCGACGTGTGCAGTCTGTACCATTGCTCGTACTCGGGCAACTGTCTGGGTAACGCCGACCTAACGTGAGTACTGTCACGCACTGTTTGTTTTCGCGTTAAATGCACCTCCCGAGTATGGTAAACGAATCTGTTCTTAAAAGGTGCAGTTGTTTTCGTTCTAGATCAGTTTTTTTTTTTTTTTTTATACTCCTTAAATTGCATGTGCATAGTATTATGTGCATCGTGATACTGTGTGACCACTACAAAATGATTGTAGTTATTAAATTTCGGTGTAACAGAATAGATTATCATCTGTTTAACTAATGGATATATTATGATAACTACTAATAAATATTTTAAAGACCCGAAAGTGAAATTAAAATCACATTATTCACATCTATGTTATAGATGGGAACTAGGGGCATGTAAAGATGTGTTAGACAGTATAATCCAGTCGATAACGAATCAAATTGCAATTCTGTAATGTACATACCTATAGGCACTTTATTTAAAATATATAACAACCAATGTGTGTCAGGTAAATGTCATACTAATATATTTACAGAGTATTTTTCTCTGGAACCATATTTATTGATATATATTTTTCTAATTTCAATAATATCATAATAATATGATTGCCTTTGAAATCTACATAATATTAGTATTATTTAAGTAACATAACCATAACTCTTACATCTCTATGTAATACACCCTCGTAAAGCTTTTATTGATGATTATATTATGTTTATAACTACACCAGTTATATATGCCCCAACTAAATTATTCAATCAACTTTACAACTCGCATTAAGGAAACTGAAAACATTGAGTTAGGTATACTTGTCGTGGCTAGTGATGTATACTTATATAATACAATAATATATGCCATAGAAAATAACTAATAATAATATTGTTTTTAATGATAAATCTACAAATTACAAACTAAAAAAAAAAAAAATAAGGTAGGCAATTGTATACCACTCTACAGTCCAATAGGTTTCGAGAAGGTTACTATTGCGAGTGTGTTAAATTTTAATTCCATGATATGACTATTTGATATAATTTGTTCCGAAAATATTATTTTATTTTTAGTACTTAATTATTATAATAATATATTTTTATATCACATTAAATAAATGTATATAACTCAAAATGTAATAACATCTTTATGTTAAGACTATGATACAATAAAAATAAATTTATAGTATAGTTCGATTATATTTTAAAAAATAAATCAAAAATGTTGTTGTGTACTTATAGTAAAATTCATTATAATATAATACATTTAAAAGTTTTTAACTTAAAATAAAAATAATAATTAATATCCTTATATATTGTTTAAATAAAAAATTATATCTAAATTTGACATTAAAATAACTATAAAAATAATTGGTTTTATACATTTTTTAAATTGTATAGTTACAAAATACTTTCTACTGATGAATCTTGTATTACATTTTCTAGAATTTTCACTCAGTGAATACATTTTTATTGATATTTATAAAAAAAAAACTAAAAATATTGAAAATCTATCATGCTTATAAATAGCTTAAAAATATTCAAAATATTTAGAACATTTTATCATGAATATAAAATGATCATATAAATATTTTATGAAAATTTTAAACATCTACTGTTATTTTTTTTAATAAAACAAAATATTATCAAAAGTTTTTTGATGAAAAATAATTATTTTACGGGTAAATACTAAATATCGAATGTCATAAATATTTGAACTTGAAATGCTCATAAAAAATGTATTTTGTTTTTCGGTAAAACTTTTTTTAAGATACTTATAAAGAACTTTGTATTAAATTTTAAAATCTTAGGCATAAAAAAAAAAAAAAGTATAAACTCCTAATTACAACAAAATGTGTTCACCTACACTATTTTATTAAAATTCTAATTTTAAATGCTTATAAAAAATATTTGAATAAAGATTTTCTATATTTTTAATTAAGAAAATAAAAAAATCATGAAAGGCTTGTCCAAGAATTTCTATCTAGCAAACAATCTTTAGTCAAAATTTATAATAAGTAATAATAAACATTGAAAATTTATCTTGCCTAAAAATTGATGAAATATTTTTAAAATATTGTCGTAAACATAAATTAATAATAAAAATTTAAAATTTCTACAGTTTTTCATTCTTGAGTTTAACTAAAAAACAAAATCTATTTTGTTAAAAATTTGATTAAATAAGACTGCCTGTTTTTTTCTTTTTGTCTTTCTTGATTATAAAAAACACTATAAGGAATTTTTAATTTAGAACTTTTTTTAAATATAAATTTGATTCAATTTTTTATTAAAGATCATTCTTAAAATCTATGAATTCTAATAATTTTATCAAAAAACTTATCGTGTACACATATACAAAAAAAAAAAAAATCATAATAATAAAATCAATATAGATTACTCCGCTCAGAATCTAAAACAAAACCAGTTTATAAGTTATCTTAAAAAATCGTTTGTAGAGACACCGATTTAAATTGTATTACTATTTTTATTTTGTTTTTAATGGACTATATTTATTATAACCATCAATTTAGACACAACATAGGTCACTTAGCGTATTTCTTAATTTATTTTTGCAATATTATTCTTAAATTTATTTTAGCTACTTCAATATCGAAGTCGAATTATTCAGTTGATATGTTTTAAATTTCTAATAAAAAGCTATTAATATTAGAATCATAACTATCTGTATTTAATGATGACTTTTTAAAACTTTTCGAACATCCTCAATCGCTTATTATCAATATTAACTCAATTTTAAAATGTATAATTATGTTAAATAATAGTAAAATTACTTACTTCACACGTGTCTTAATTTAAATTGATTCAACCTTGCTCTAATACAAATTATTGACTGTACGTGATCAAATATGCATTACCAGATTATAATTATTACCTACTCACTGCAATCGCATAAAAATTATATGCTGAGAAGATAAAATATTCTGTAGTTTTGTTGTATAAGTATACATTTGTTGTAAGGTAAACAAGAAAGAATTTAAAATATCTTTATCACGCATATGTCATCACTCGTCAGTTATTGGTGGTAGGATAAAAGGCGTTATCGAATGGTCGGCTACACTTCACGCCTTCACGGTACCTGACCCTAGTAAACCTTTTAAAATAGTCGTCCGTCGCTGTCGTCAATGTAGAATATATTATACGTATAGGTATATGATGTATATGTACTCCATACAGCGTATAAAACGTATTCAAATAGAATCGATGTCTACTGATGTTCGTTACACCTTCAATTCTTGTTAAAAGTTTGTTTTGTATATTATCGAAGACGAACGTATGAGAACCAATATATTATTATTCCTGACAGTCATATTATTATATAAACTTTTTTTTTCTCAGAGAATCGTTTTTATTTTATTTTTTACTTTACTCCATATAAATAATGCCTTCGATACAAGTCAAGCGTATAAATAGGTGTTTTACTTATTACTTATTAAAAAACAAATATTATTAATATGCATAAAAATGTATTTAAATGCTAATATGCTGTATAAGATCATATTTGTTTTTTATTATCATTATATAATTAAGTTTCGGTGATTATAAATAGTCTATACTTAGAAATATTATTATATCATTCGATAGTAATATTATTAAAACATTATAAATATTATGTTTCATATAAAAATAAATAAATAAATATATTTTATTGTGTTATAAGTTTTCAGTTTATAACTGAAAATATAATGTTTGCACATATACAAGAATAATAGTGTAGATGGTTTAAAGTATTTATCTGTTATTTAACTATTTTTTTAAATATCATATAGTTATTATTTAATTATTTCTAAAATCGATAATTTTAGTGAGTTTTTTAATTTAATTACTCGTTTTCTTTATTTCATGGAAAATTTTTAATCTAAAATATATATAATCAATACATTGTAAAAATGTATGCATTCGATACATTTTGATATAACTTTCTACAAATATTAATTTAATCAACCCTTGGGATTATAATACCTACTGAAATATTAAATAACTTATTTGGTATCATAATTTAAATATTGCTTTATTTACTAAGAATATCAATTAAGTTAATTTACAGCTACAAAATCTGTCTAGACACAATTTCTATATGCGTAAATGGGGTACAAGACTGGCTTTTTGGCATTTTAGAAAGTTTTACTAAAATACATTCAAGACTAAATATTAAACACGATTATAAATAATAAAGATTAAAATATATCTAAAAATTATAAAATGTATATTTCTATTTTATTTTAATTTAGCCCAACTAATTTTGGTGTGGTATTTGAAAATATTATTTTCCAATTAGTATTCATAGTATAGTCTGTGGTCTTAAAATTTAATTAGCAAATCTTGATATTACTATGTAAAAGGCTTACCTGTAAACTAAGGGATTCTGACCATAAAGTATATTTTCTTCATTTTCTAGAACATTAAAATTATTAAAAATACAAATTTTGTAATAATAATGGTATGAATAACGGAATAATTAAAATTTTTTTCTTCAAAATAATATCGATATTTTTTTATTTTATTTATTTATTTAATTTTATTTTTTTGAGGCAATTAAACATGTCACAAAATTGGATATTTGCATATAAACAATAATAACAATCATTATTATTTTAGCGATTTTAGTCTGCTCTTTCTAATTCAAAAACTGTGTTTGTTTGGGTTTTTAATTTTTTTTTATTACATTTATTTTTATTTTTTGTTCATAAAATGAAAATGTTAATATATTTTGGTTCATTTTAAACAATTTGTGTTAAAACTAAATTTTTTAAAAAAATTAGTTCAAAATGCTGTATTATTAATAACAAAATAAATAACTTATCAAATTATAAATAGATAATAGGTATAATATTGAAATTTAACATATTCTTTAGCATATATCTTAGAACTTGTGTAGTTAATAAATAGTGCCATTTAATATGAATTACTTGTACATTCGTGTTTGTATTTACTTTAGCATAATATTAATTGTATACATATTTGTATTTAAAATATACAGTTATCTATTTATTAGAAATAACTAATATTTATTTACCAAAGTACTCATATAAAATTGTATGAAAATGC